CAGTTCAAGGAGAAGAAGTCAGGGAACCGAGCTGAGCCTTCAGAAGAAGTGGAGATGATCGATGTCGGCAGCCCGACTTGCCCTAAACAGCTCCGAATAGGGGCATGCCTGCCTGAACCACTCAGAACTGAACTGATACAATTCCTCCAGGCAAATGCCGACGTCTTCGCTTGGAAGCACGAAGATATGAAGGGGATCGACCCAAAAGTAGCATGCCATCGGCTCAATATCGATAAGACGGTGAAGCCGGTCATCCAGAAGAGGAGGAAGCTCGGTCCTGACCGACAACAAGCCCTTGAGGAGGAAGTGAGCAAGCTGGTCAACAACAAGTTCGTCAAGGAAACCAAGTATCCGACCTGAGTGTCCAACCCTGTCTTGGTCAAAAAAGCAAACGGAGCATGGCGACTGTGCATAGACTTCTCTGACCTCAACAAAGCTTGCCCGAAGGACAGCTACCCCCTGCCACACATCGACTACATGGTCGACGCAACCTCGGGCCACGAGCTCATGAGTTTCATGGACGCCTACTCGGGCTACAACTAGATTCCTATGGACCCGGAGGAAGCGGAGCACACCTCGTTCTACTCGGCTCGGGGACTGTATTGCTATACGATGATGCCTTTTGGGTTGAAGAACGCTGGGGCCACCTACCAGCAGTTAGTCAATAAGATGTTTTCTAGACTGATAGGGCAAACTATGGAGGTCTATGTTGATGACATGTTAGTGAAGTCGGTCGTGGCGAATGATCATGTAACCCATTTGAATGAAATGTTTAGAATTTTACGCGATTACTCGATGGTGTTGAATCCTAAAAAATGTACCTTCGGGGTAAAGTCGGGAAAATTCCTGGGCTACATGGTCAGCCAAAGAGGAATTGAGGCAAACCCGACAAAAATCCAAGCAATACTTGACCTCAAATCCCCCACCTCGGTAAAAGGAGTACAGAGTCTGACCGGGAGGTTGGCGGCCCTGAACCGATTCATTTCAAAATCGACTGACCGCTGTAAGCCTTTCTTTGATGCCATCAGAAAAGGGAAAAAGTTCGAATGGACAGACGAGTGTCAGAAAGCCCTCGAAAATATCAAAGATACACTAAGCCGACCCCCGGTACTGCAGAAACCAAAGCCCGACGAGATGCTATATTTGTACCTCGGGGTAAGCACCTCGGCGGTCAGCGCGGTGCTCATAAGAGAGGAAGAAACGTGCCAATACCCGATCTATTACGTAAGCAAGGCGTTGCATGACGCCGAACTCAGATACCCCCCGATGGAAAAGCTGGCGTACGCACTCATCATAGCGGCGAGGAAGCTCCGACCCTACTTTCAAGAGCACTCAATAACCGTCTTGACGGCCCATCCGTTGAGGCAAGTCTTGCACAGGCCAGACACGTCGGGGAGGATGATTAAATGGGACGTGGAGTTAGGACAGTTCGATATACACTACAAACCCCGCACGGCCATCAAAGGACAAGTGCTGTCAGATTTCATCGCCGAATTCACCCCCACGATCCGAGGGAGAACGGACACCCGGCCATGGGTGATGTACGTTGACGGTCGTCCACAGCAACTCGGGCGGGGGGAGGTGTGGTCCTAGTCGATCCCGAACAGCGGGTGTACTGTCACTCGGTCCAGTTCCTTTTCCCGGCCACTAACAATGAAGCCGAGTACGAGACCTTAATATCCGGCTTGGGTCTTGCTGAAACCATGAATCTTACCCACCTAAACGTCTTCTCAGACTCCCAGCTGCTCGTTAACCAGGTCCTCGGCAGTTACGAGGTAAAGGAGCCTCGGTTGGCATCATATCTGGCGTTAGTCAAACGGCAGATGGCGAAGTTCGAGATCAAGATCGAGCATATCCCAAGAACATCGAACGTGCAAGCCGATGCCCTGTCGCACCTCGCGTCAAGCGCGAACATGGA